CTAGGCAGTGCGGTCAAGCGGAGAAGGACAAAGAAAGGTTGAAGTGCACTGATAAAGCTGGGTGTCATCATGGTAAATACAGAAACTGAGCCTGTGTCTGCAGATAACATTTGGGTATACGGTGGTAATCTGTTACTCTGGGTTGGTGTCAAATGCCTAGAGTGGGTGTCCAGATCTCACACTGCTTCAGTTTACAGTTGGCTGCATCATGAAGTTTTGGTTTGGAGACTGTCACAAGCCCATCTTTGTCAATAATGTTTACATGTCCTCCCTGCAGCTTCCCAAAGGCCATGGACAATTTGTGTAATGTCTGGAAGTAGAATACGAGCCTTATTCACACCAGGTCTAAAATGCATGCTTGAGAGTCTTTTTGAGGCACAAGTCAGGAGTGCGACAGAATTCTCTTCTTTCTTGGATGTGAGCAGCTCCAACAACCCTTGGAATTTAATATTATACAGATTAAAGCAACCGCTTTATTAGCACTGGATATACAACCATAAACATTCACTTCCTCCACCATTGGCACACAGTGACTCCAGGGTGACTTTGATAGCACAGACTGAATCTGTGACTCCCGCTAGCTCCAGGGATAAAGGGAATAAAAAAAATTGGGAACATCGTTATTTGCAAGTGCCCCTCCGAGCCTGGCACTGTTCTGTCTTGGAATTGTATCAGCATTCCTTAACCATTATCAGGTCAAAAATGTGGAGCTCCTTACGTGAAGAGAAACTAGAAACAGGAAGGGAAGCCATTTGGCCATTTTGAACTTGCTCTGCCATTCATAATGTCTGACTGGCCCTCTGTCTCAATGCCAAATGCCCGCTTTCTCCCTACACCTCTTGATGAATTTAATATCTAAAAACTTCTCTGTCTTTCTTGAATGTATTCAGTGACTTGGCTTCCACAGTCTTCTGTGGTAGAGAAATCCTGAGGTTCATTACCTTTTGAGTGAAAAAATATTTCCTTACCTCAGTCCTAAATTGTGTATCCCGTAATCGGAAATGGCGTTTCCTGGTTCTGGATCTCCAACCAGGTAAAACCTCTTCTCCTTATCTGGTCTGTCCAGCTCTGTTACAATTCTCCGAGTTTCAATCAGATCCCCTCTCATTCTTCTAACTTCTAGTGTATACAGGCCCAACCAAGCCGATCCCTCTTCACACCGTGGCCCTGTAGTCAGGTAAAGAACTTCTGCTGCACTCCGTCTGTGGCAAATATATTCTCTCTCAGGTAGGAAGATGAAAACTGCACAAGGCACAACAGGGGTGGTCTCACCTCTATTCCGTTTCACTGGAGTAAGACATCCTGACTTCTGAACTCCAGTTCTTTTGCAATGAAGGCCGATATACCATTTGCCTTGCTTATTGCTTGCTGCACCTACCTGTCTGCTTTCATTGACTGGTGTACGAGGATGCCCGGATCTCTTATACATCATCCATGCTCCCCAAAATATCCCCGTTAAATAATCTCCTTCCTTTCTGCTTTTCAATGCCAAAATGTATGACTTCAAACACCCATCCATTCCCGCTCCCTCTGTTTCCTGTCTGTCAACCAATGTGCAATGAAGATTATCCCCTATCCCATGTGCTTTCATTGTGCCTGCTAACTTCCTAAGAGGGACCTTATCAAAAGCCTTCTGAAAATCCAAATATACCACATCCACTGATGCTCCCTTAAATATTCTATGAGTTACATCCTCAAAAAACTCCAAGAGATTCATTAAGAATGATTTGCCTTTCATAAACCCATGGTAGCTTTGTCTAATCCTGTTAATGCTTTCCAAATGTTCTGATGTAATAGATGAGTATTTTCCTCATGACTGATGTTAGGCTAACTGGTCTGGAATTCTGTTACTTTCTTTTCCCTCCCTTTTGAAACAGTGGAGTACATTTCCCACCCTCCAATCTGTAGGAACTGCTCTATAGTCTATCCAAGTTTGGAAATTTTTCCAATACTTTCAGGGCAGCTTCCTTTAGTACTGTACATTGTGGATTATTAGGCCCTGGTGATGTGTTAGTCTGTAACCTCATGCATTTCCTGAGCACCATTTTCTGACTAATAAATATTCCCTTTAATTCCACCCTCTCACAAGATGCTTGGTTCCCTCCTATTGCTGGGAGAGTATTTCTGTCCTCTTCTGTGAAAACAGTATCAAATTCTTCTGCCATTTCTGCGTTCCCCAATATAATTTCCCTGGCTTCTGACTATCTGGGTGACACGGTGGCTCAGTGGTTAACACTGTTGCCTCAGCACCAGGGACTTGGATTCGATTCCAGCCCCTGGTGACTGTCTGTGTGGAGTTTGCACATTCTCCCCATGTCTGCGTGGGTTTTCTCCATCTGCTCTGGTTTCCTTCCACGGTCCAAAAAATGTGTGGGTTCGGTGAATTGGCCATGCTAAATTACCCATAATGTCAGTGATGTGCAAGCTAGATGGATTAGCCATGGGAAATATGCTGTTACTGGGATAGAGTAGGGGGATGGGTCTGGGTCTGGGTGGGATGTACTTCGGAGGGTGGTGTGGACTCGATAGGCTGAATGGCCTGCTTCCATACTGTAGAGATTCTGTGATGATTTTATGACTGCAAGGCACCTGCATTTGTCTTTCCTATTCTGTTTCTCTTCACATATTCATAGAAGCTTTTACAGTCAGTTTTTATGTTCCCTGCAAGTTTATTCTCATAACAGCACTGTGGGTATACATTTAGCTCATAGGCTGTGTGGTAGCTCACCTTCACTTCCTCAAGGGTATTAGGGATGGGTATTAAATGTTGCTCTTAACCACGATGGTCATGTCAAGTGAATGGGTAGATAAATAAATACATTTGCCCTGAGCCAAATCAATGATAAGGAGCCTCTCCGAAACCCACTCCTAACTTAAGACAGAGAAAACCATTCTCCCTGGAATGGGGATCATTGCTTTTTGGTATATTGAGTTGGATAAAATCTCAACAGGGTGCATTAAGGCTCATCTACTGCACTGTAGACTTGGCAATGGGCATGGCTACCTGAGAAGGGTACAGGAGCCTTGGTGTGCTTTCCCCAATTACCGAGCTCCCCACAAAAGTCGCAAAGGGGCTGGGGGTTAGGGGGTGAATTGTGAGTGTTAAGAAATACTCAAGTGGAAGTTTAGATACGCAACCAGTTTGGAAATGGGTTTAATTTGAAAAATTATTGACCTGTATCTGAAAGCATTCCCCTGAAATGTCTTCATCCTAAGTTGTGTCTTGGCTACATGGGGAATTAAATGTGGGTGTGACTAAGATGTATTATCTTTTTTCCTGATGGCAAATTGTGGACATGAAACCAGAGTGATCACCTTGCTTAGGTTCCTCAGGATCTTCAGAACAATTGATTCTGTTTAGATTTAACCTGATTGTGTTCAGTTTGAATTGATCAGTGAGGTGAGCTGTGAAGTATTTAATTCTTTAATGTTGCAATTTGTTTTATTCGTGATCTGGGTTCTGGAATGGACCTATCTTAGCACTTCTATTGAAAAGCAGGAATCTGAGAAGCGCACATCTGGAATGCTACATGGCTGAAAAGAAAGACACATTTTACTCACTTCTGGCTCTCTTTTTAGTCGCTGGGTGTGTGTTTCGGGAATTTGCCATTTTCAACTGCTACTTTTACATTGTGGTTGTCGCATGAGATGTGTTGTAGTTCTAGTAGCAACTTGGATGCACTACGCATCAAAAAAAAGACTGAAAAGTAATTAGTGCATATTAACTGGGCTCATGTTCTGACCTAGCTACCACTTACAAGTAATTATATATGGGAGGAACAAGCAAATGCTGTTAGCAAATTGATTTTATTGGTTGAGTATGCCACAGAACCTTAAAATATCTTTAATATCCTTAAAAGATCCTTAATAGATCCTTAAAAATTATGCATATATTTTCAACAATAATTTTGTAGATTTTGACAATCTACAGGTATAAAAGACTTGCTTTGGTACAGTACCTAGAGCATCAGGTAGAGAATGTCCCTAGTACCTAGAGAATGCCCCTAACACACAGCCAGTTAGATCCTTTTGTAATGCAGTAATTGTTGTGATGCAGGATGCACAGCAACTTTTTCCCACAAACAGTGATAAGATAATATGACTAGTTAATCTGTACTTCGTGATTATTATTTGGGGAATAGCATTGGTCAGGACGTGGGGAGAGAAAGTAATTTACGTCCTGCATTGGAATATCAGCCTCGATTTCTGCTGCCAAGTGTCTGGATTGGGACTTGAATTCAAGAAGCCATAGCTGACCACTCCCTATCTATTCTCAGGTTCTTTATTGTCCAGGTATTTAGAATTTTAGAAATCCAGGTGTCTAGAAATAGAAAATCTATTTAGGAAGCACATTCCATAATCTCAGGATATCCCAAAGCTCCTTCCAGCAAGTGAACGACTGTTGAATTACACTCTCTCTGTCTCCTTACTCTCTTCCCCACCCCACTGCCTCTCTCTCTCTCTCTTTCGCTCTCGCTCTCTGTTGCCTCTCTGTCTCTGTTGCCTCTCTCTCCCTGTTGCCTCTCTCTCTCTCCCTGTTGCCTCTCTGTCTATCTGTCTCTCTCTCTCTCTCTCTGTTGCCTCTCTGTCTATTTGCCTCTCTCTCTCTCGCTTGCCTCTCTGTCTGTCTGTCTCTCTCTCTCTCTCGTTGCCTCTCTCTCTGTTGTCTCTCTGTCTTTCTGAATTGTAGAAAATGGTAATCATGGTGGACGCTGCAAGATCCCACAAATGTTGATCTCCTGACCTGTGGCTCTGGGTGTGACTCCCGCTGAATTGCAGCCACCCATCTAAAATAATCCTGTCAGGGAATTTTCATGTTAAGAATCGAGACTGAATCCTGCAGAGCCAGCTTGAATGTTGCGTTTGAATTCTAAAGTTTTTAACTGAGACACCTCCCCACTTCCCTTTCTAACCCAGATGCTAAGAATGTGGCTCGCTCTGCCAGGAGTTGCCTTGTTCCCAAACCCACGCTGAATTTTTTTTCTGTCTTTGCTTCATAGGAAAGTGAGGAGGATTCTCCAAGTGAAGGAATTTATGTTTCCAAAGTTATGGAGAAAGGGCCTGCTGACAGAGCAGACGGGCTGGAAGTTCATGACAGGATCATTGAGGTAAGACAAGGAGGTGTGACTACATGAAATCATCTCTGCTCTTTCACTTTGTTGGCTGAACACATTCAGTTTTCTCTTGAAAGGCATCCCTCTTGAGCTGAATGTACAAAAACAGTGTGGCATTTGCGTGAAGCAGTAAATAATGGTTTGTTCATTTGAGATTTTGTCTCTGGGTCTAATTGGCAGTGATTCCAGTAAATGATGGTCACTCAGACCAAGAGAGACTCCAGCTTTGTTGCCTGCCCTCTGCCCAGTTACCTAATTTCGCGTAGGATTTCTGCCATTGGCATCATTGCTCCTAGTTTTGTGGATGGGTGCTAGCTGCACAGTGGTTGTGGCAACATCAGAAGCTAATTGCTTTTCACGTTGCCAATTGCCATTGCAAACCGCCACGTGTGAGCGTCCATGGATTGCTAGGCGAGAGCCAGGCTTCAATAATACCAGTCCTTTTGGTTGAACTGAGACCGGTTTCTAAATGTGCATTTGATGGCCCAAAGATAAACCAGTCCAAACCAATTTCTTTCTATTTTTGTTTGAGTAATCATGTCATAGTGAGACCAAGTGTTTTGTTGCGGTCAGCAATTTGTTATTCCTCAAAAGCATTTTGATTGCCTCTGGGACGTTTTGTGTCAAATTGTACTCCCAGGACAGCATTTTGCTCCGCATATGGTTTCTGTAGTAATGTACTGTTGCATCATCCTCACTTGACTTTTCTTCACCATCTTTACTCCATTTACTAAAGGAAATGTTCAAATGCTTGCATTGACTTGGCATGCATTTTATCCAACGTGTGAAATATTATTTTTGCCTTCACTTTGCTCGTAACTGCAGACATGTCGCGCAGCTTTAAATTTCTGAGGATGGTGTAACTTTGGTGCTGAGTGAAGAAAGCACACTGTCTGTACGTTTCTGGGGGCAATCTGGTGTTGCCGATGTCAGAGTTCAATTACTGATTTTGTCTCATCAGATTATATACAGTGATGACTTATGATGACATGAATTGTGCAGAACTCTGTCTTTGTAAAGCAAGGGTAAAGATCACACATTTTCTTTTATTGAAACGATCTGTTTGCCACCAGTGCCGTGCTGGTATGTTCACAATACTAAAGCAACTATTAACCACGGAAAGAAAAGTTCTGCTTTGTTTCTCACTTTATGTAACTGTTATTACCACAATCTACCCGTTTATTCAGCTTGTTTCATCAATTAGTTTTTGTGACTTTCGTCCTGATGATTATTTCCAGTTGTGAATGTGCACAAAATTAAGCTCATTGTTGAAATGTCAAATTCAAGTCATACTGTCTTTGATGGTTTATTTCTGTGACCTCAATATGTTGTTTCATTAAAATAGTATTGTTCATTGGGATTTGTAACTGTGTATTTCCAAGATATCACTGTTAATGTGCCATGCTCCTTGATTTCATTGAGTGTACCCTTTGTGGATATACTTCTGGAAGAGAATATGCACTCTTGAAGTTTGATGAAGAAATTCCCAACCATTTTCACTTTTTGGAAATAGTTCCTCTGTCCTCGTGTACTGTATAGAGCTTGCCTCTTAGAGACTAAGCAAAAAAAAAACTTAGTTTTAAGAGGAATTATGTATAAGTTCTCTTTTTTTAACCTTGGCAATGGCTAATGTATGTACATTAGGGCCTTTATACACCTGCTGATATGGTACATTTTATTGTTTTAGAAAAGATGTAATTTTCCTGATTGGGAGATCTAGAAGAAGATGGATGATGTGGGGAAGGGGTGCAGGATGGTGGAAATTGACTGGGTGGACAAGCAGCAGACCATGATGAGACTTCTTGCTTAGCTGACACTATCCTAAGAAGCCATTCCAAGTTGCTAAGCCATTGATGTGAATGGCTGCCTTTTCTGAATTTGCCATGACTCATAATTCTTGTGATTAATTGACATGATGTCACCGTTGGCCATTCACCACCGCTAAATTAATGATGTCATCGTAAACCATCCATCTGTTGTTGCTAGGCTACTGACGTGAAAGGCTGCTCTGTTTGGATTAGTTCTGGATGTTACCCTTGTGATAAATCTACTGCATGCCAGAGTAAGTGGAGGTGGTGAAGTGGGAGAAGCTGTAGCTGTTGTTTTATATCTTAAATTTGACTTGTTTGAATGTGAGATGAGTCGGAGACTGTATTCCTTTTCTGGTTTTGACATCGGCAGACTAACCAAAACCTTGATCGGAATTGCATATACATTAGAACAGAGTTGGCTCCCACATTGTTGCTGTCCTTTTACTCAAACTATCAATATATCTATGTTTTTCTGCCAATATTCATCTTGGATACCAGTGTAATAACGCATACTAAAAATAATATTAGGTGGGGCTGGAAGCTAAAGAACAGAAATAATTCTTTTACACTAAGATACTGAGTCAGAACTCTGTTTATTCCCTATTTCAGTGACCTTTTGGAGTTTGTAGTGTGGCGCAAGCTTGATTAAATAGAAGTTTCTGCTTAGATTATGAGCTTCCTGCAATGAAGTATGAACTGAAAATGATCTGAATCCTATTTTCCTCTGATTGGCGCCTATGCACTGACCCAGTGTTGATCCAACAGCAACCTCTTTCAAACTCATTGCTACGTCCCTACAAACCTCTGCTTGAATCCTGAAGCACACAGACGGCTAATCAGAAACGGTATTCGGAAGTTCTGGAAGGAAAGAATTCCGATGTAACTGTACAAATACTTGACAAGAATCAGTGCTCTGCATTGTATTTAAGGGGATGTTGTGTTCTTAAGCTGGCAGGAAGCAGGAGCTCAGCCATATTCCCAGAAGGAATTCCCCCTTTGGAGATGGCAAAGAGTCCAGCTTGCCATGTTTTGTCAGTGGAATTTTCAGTCTTGCAGCTGTTGACCAGCTGTGACCCCTAATGTCTGCTCTGAGGAGTTGAGCTGCTATTAATTTCAATCCCCTTCGACTTCACCCAATCATTGCTCCTCTGTGCAGCTTCCGTTGGTCATCTCTGTGGAGTAGGCTGATTGTTCAGTGCCAGATCATTGATGTCAAGCCCTTGGTTCTGTTAGGCTCAGTGGAGCTGGTGGGTGTAAAGTGAGTCACTATTTTTTCAAAATCTGTTAAAACATGCTGTCTAATGGCCATGTGATTAAAGCCCCCACAGGGGACAGTACTGAGCCATGAGCAACGTGTAGAATGAAAACATGATTGAGTCTAGTTCTCGGCATTACCAGCATTTGCCCAGACTTTCATGGGGTAACTTCACTTGGGCGTGCCTATACCTTTAGGAGAAAATGAAGGAGCAAACTTTCTTATAGCCAGTTTCAAAAGTCACTGCCTCTGGGAATGGATTATCCATCTTTATGGCTTAGAAATACATGGAGATTGGCTCACGGAAACAGGCTATCTCAGCCCAATTAGTCCATGTCAACAGTGGCTCAGGGAAAGGAACAAAGCGAAGTGTTGCACAGATCCGTGCAAGCAAATGCTTCCAATCACTTTCTCCTATAGTGCTGTCATCGCTCTGCAACTCATTTTCCTTTTATCCAGAGTTGGATAGATATCGGAGGTGTGGACGATGGCATATTTTCGCATCCTGAATGAGTTAAGGGATATGGAGTTGAGTTAGGGTCAACGTCAGCTATAGCAGATCACGCTTGAGGGGTTGAAGGGCCTACTGCTTTTTTATACTTTTGTACAGTCAGAGACAGGGTTAACTAATGATCATTAAAAGCAGGGCAAGAGCTTTAATTGGCACCACATGACATACATAAAGCCAAATTACTTCAATAATTGCTGTACAGAATTTGCAGCACAGGAACTGACCATTTGATTCAAAATATCTATACTGCTGAACACAATCCAAAGGGTATAGGGTTTCATTTTCATCCCATTGTGTCACATCTGATGCCGGAGTTGCAGAATATATCAACTAGAATAATAGACGGTTTGTTATTTCAACAGAAAAGTCATCTTTACTTTGTAAACATTGTACTGGAGATAAGTTTGAATTTGATTCAGAAGATACTGTTGTCTGTCTAATACGAAAAGACTGTCCACCTATTCCTTATTTGATTCTAATTGTAATTCTTCTGGCAGAGTCTGGTTAACCCCAGATGTGAGTTGCATTATGAATTACAGTATGTTGGAAAATCCTCAGATTTCTTTCCAATAAAACTGAGAATGTGTACATGTATTTGAGAATCTCTAACTACTTGGAGTTATTTCAGGACTACACTTAACTGAATTCTGATTGTTCTGATTCCAAGGTGGGCATTATGCTGTCAGTCTAAGAAATTGGAGGAATCTCACCATGTAATTTATGGTTGGAACGTCACCACTGGTTTTCGGGACTGGTGAGAGCTTTTGCCACTATGGGCTGGTGGGGTTGATATCAATAGAAGCTTCCACCAAGCCCTGCTCCCCATTACTATACCTCACCACTACGGCTCAGCATCTACCTTTTCCAGTGATAGCAGCCTGAACCAGACTGAGTCGGTCCTTCGCCTGAGTCGGAAGTGGTTGGAAGCAGGGGACCCTGGAGGATGAGTTGAAGCTCTCCCAGGCTCACCAATCCTGATAATTGTACAGACGTTTGTGCTGATGCTGTGAGAGTTGTGAGGATGTCAGGCCAAGGCTACATTTAGATACGGATGGGATGCTTCCACAGTGAAACAGTTTGTTAATGGTCACCAGGTTCACACCTGGTTTGCATCATTTGGAACATGAATCTTGAACCATGTTTCAACGAGGAATTGATGCTTCTGGAGATTGCAGGGGAGAAAGGTCATTCAAATAATTTTATATTTACTAGGATTACAAAATAAATTGACTACTGGTTAAGCAGCCATTGAGGGACATGAGAAAAGTATTTTTGTCACATCTCTCTTTCTCTCTGTCTGTGTCTGTCCCTCTGTTTTTCTCTCTCTCTTTCTCTCTCTCTCCCTTTTCTCTCTCTCCCTTTCTCTCACTCCCTTTCCCTTTCTCTCGCTCCCTTTCTCCCCCTCTCTCTCTCTCTC